AACATTAAAAATTGGGAAAGATGGCTTCTTGAATTGGTTTAGAACATTTCAGTTCCCTCGTGTATATATTGTATGCATGTGTAACATTTTGACTGAGCACACTGATACTACACTGACTCTAATCAAAAGTTCCAATCTATGCAGAAGTAACCCCATCCTACAGTAGTAAATATTAAGTCTGGCACAAGGTCAAATGAGCTATTGCTTCTCTTACAATATCCAATATAAATCTCGTTTTTTTTTTAACTCATTGATTGTAATTGATAAAGAATTTTTTTATTTTTATTTGTAACATTGCTTTTTGAATAAGTGAAAAATACAGTTTCTCCTCGGTCACACTAACATAGAATCAGCATCTTTAATTCTTAGACCTTCCCACATTATATTTTAACCGTAACTTTGATACCTGTTAAAGCATGGTATTCTTGAAAGCAATGATTAAAGTTTTTTCTCTCATTGTAGCAAAAAGCTTCACAAATATGTTTGAATTCTGACCATAAGCAAAGAGCAGCTTTATCTCATGGAGCATTATTAATTACTGTGATCTTTTCCCAAAATTCATCTCATTGTTTCAACATTTTCACCTTTTGTATGCAAATTTGTTTCTTGATGATGATTATCCTCCCTTTCATTGCCCCATATTTCAGGCCAAAGAGGGAAATGACATTACATCCTCTCTAAAGTCGTGACCAGATATCAAAGCTTCTGTTGTCTTTCTTATGCATATTTTCAGCATATTTTAGAATAACTGTCTAAGTTTGGCACATGTTTACACTCATGGAGCATCCGGTGGAGGACAACCACATGTATATTTTAGCAGACCCTATGCCAGATTCTCTATTCACATCAGAATAGAAATTGTCTAACTCTGGTGAAAGGCTATATTAGTAGAGGCATTCACTAAAGGTCACTATTAGTATATGAGCAACAGTCTTCAACATTATTAGTTAATTGTTGCTTTGTTACAATTTAGTAAAGGACTCTACAAAAACACTATATTGAAAAAAATAGCTATCAAAATAAATAAATAAATAAGATCCCTGAAAAGTGCTTTTTTGCCAAACCTGATTTCCTGGATTTTATAAGAATTTTAAACAGAAACTATAGTTCTGATGAATTTTGGATCAAGTGATTCAATATCATTTAATTTCCCCATCCGATTTCTTCATCCAATTTATTAACAGGTGTTTTGGTAAAATGTTTCTTTGCTGATGTCAGAGAAGTAAAAACAAAACTAAGACAAGAAAAACTAAGGCAAAACATACATTTTCTGTTGAAAGCAAAAGAATTATATTCAAAAATCTCCTTTTTCCTCTATTTCAAAAAGGAAAATAAAAATAGCTGTAAAAAAAAAAAAAAAAAAAAATTGTCCATTAAAGACCATCTGGAATTTATTAACATTCTTGTGAAATTTTCAAGTCTTTGCACAAGAATAATTACAGAAATGAAATGCTATTCAAAAACTGATTGAATAGACAGTAAGAATTCTTGTGGAACCATTTTCTTTTTTATATTATTTCAAGACATTTATTAAATTAAGGAATGTAAACAGTTTGGTTCTATTTTGGGCTTTCATTTGCCATTGTATAGAAAAGTTGAACATTTAGTTCTGGAAATGTTCAACTCTTGCCTTAAATTTTCAACATCACAATATTCTAAAAATGTGCTTTGTAGACAGAAAATAAATTCTTTTCTCTTCCATGGTTTATGCTGACAAATATCTTTATCTTATTTGTTTGGAATATTTGAGATAATTTAATTATTCAGTTACATATTAAGTGAATTCTTAGCTGGTTGTTGTTAGAAGAGTGAATACACTGTTGTTCATAGCAAATTTGTTCTGAAGGATTTATTAGCATAATTTCTAAGTGCAATGACATGAGTTGTCAGAATGAATAGGTAAGTAATCATTTTGTGCTGATATACCATATATTCTTCATGTATATGTAAATATATTTTTATTTTTAGAATATACTTTATTTACATCAAAGATAATTTGTCTTTCAGAAATGAACTATAGCCCATATCCTTCTGACATCAGTTTAAACTGACACTTTTTTTTTTTTTTTTTCAAGTTTTCATCTGAAATCTTAAAGCAAAATAGTCATAGTATATAGGAGAAAAGAAGACATCAGTTTAAACACACCAGGAGGTTATGGGTTAAAAGATATCTATTATTTATATGAAAATGAAAATCAGTTCTAAGGAAATCTGGTATTTAGATGCTTATAGGTTAATGTGAAGGTCTCAATTCTTCAAGTATCATGTTTGCTTTATTAAACTTCTTATCAACATGTGTTGGGCTCTGATTTCTGATATTCACAAATTTCATATTTATTAAAATACTGTTTAGTTTTTACACAAATTCTATATTATAATTTATGAGATTTTCAAATGAATTTGAATAAATGATAAAAAATAACATGACAAAACATTGTTGGTCACTATTAATTAACAATTAAAAAAAAATGGTCATTTTTGTTCATAATCTATTAATATTTAGTATTCAGATCAGGCTAAAAATATAAGTACTGAATATTAACAAAACTGTTCACACCATTTAGTTAAATTGTATGTACTTTTTAATGTTTGGTGGATAAAGTGTGACTAAATAGGATTACACAACAACAACAACAACAACAACAAGAAAAAAATGAATAAAATCTATAACCAATCATGTAAATGACTTAAATGAGGAATTGGTTAAAATCACTTTGACATTTTTAGTTTAGAAGGATTCCAGGAAGCAAAGGCATATTTTGGGCTTTTGTCTGTGATTGACAAAAATTTATTTTGTCTTTTGTTTACAGAAATTTAATTTTTTAAAAACATTTTAGTTTGAGAAACTTTAAAGAATTGAAATAAAGAACTTATTTAGATTTAATCAATCATTTAAGATCTCACTGACAATTGTTAGTGACCCAAGCCTTTCAGTTTAAATCACCTGATAGCATTTGAAAGATGAGAGCTAAACACAAAAGTCTTACAAAAGAATGATCAATTCAAATTTCTATTCTCATTTTCGTTATTTAAGTTATTGAATTTCAGCTACTAAATCAGGTGGGGTCTCAAACTCAGGGACACAAAAGGGTTGTTATGGTGGCACAAGCAGAGTATTGCAGACCCAATGGTTGGGAAGCCAACCATTGGAGTCCTTGGACTGATAAAGCTGAATTATAAATCACTTGGGAATTTTAAATAAGAATTTTGAAAATAGGGAAAGAGAAGTGGGGTGCAAACAGGGAATATTTCACACATATTCTAGCACAACTTAAAAAAAAATTACACCTATTATCTCAAATTGTTTTTAATCACTTCACTCCAACCAAGGCAATAAAGCCACTAACAAGCAAGGGGTAGCTGAGTGTGAAAGAATATGAGGAAAAGAAAACAATTATTAGGAGCAAGAACAATAAAAAAAACAGGAATTAAGAAAACACAAGGTAATAATTAACATTGATTTTCAATTTTTGAAGATCAAAGTTGACAGGAAAGCAAGAAATTGAAAGAGAAACTATTAGCAAAGAACTTACAATCAGCAATTCTATTTACCTCTATCACAAAATATAAATATTCTTCCTTTTCTTTGACATTTTTTTTTTGTTTTTGTTTCATTTATGTAGTTGGCCAAAAAACACAATTTTCTGTTAAGGGGCTTTATGAGGTAAAAGACAATTGTCTTTTAACTCATAAAGATGAAATTAGAAAAAAATCATTCATGAAAAAAAATCCTCATTTTCTGTTGTGTCTTCACCCCAGTGCTAATATAAGTAGCCAGTTTTATGACTTTTCAACTTTATTTATATATACATATAACACTTGTATATAAAAATTTGATACTTATTTATGAGTTTTCAAATTTATTTCTTCTCATGAAATTAAAAAAAAGACAAAAACTTTGTTGCAAAGTCCACTTATACTCTCTCATCAGTTATAGCTGAAGAAGAATAAATAGGGGAGGGGGAATTTTTTTTCTTTCTTTCTTATCCAGAAGAGGAATTAGGACAGGCCCCAACTGACCTTAAAAAAAGACTACCTAGCCATCAAGTGCAAACAAAGTTCAATACTATTACTGAAAAGTATGGAAGGGGCAAGGGAAAAATTTATTAAACTTATTAAAATTTGAGAAAAATATTGGTCATGAAAATGGTTCCCTGTGGAATGTATGTATGTTTCATGCTTAAGAGTCTTACACTTGAATTACAGGTGATGATAATCTGCATTTTTTTTCACTTCTTCAAAGAAAAACTGACAATGCAAATAAAGTGATCTAAACAACAAGAATAAAGATACTCACCTAAATAATAACAATACTACCTCGGATAACATGTTTGAAACATTTTTTGGATTTTTTAGCAAGTCTTTAGATCTAATCTCGGTAACAGTTGGTTTTTCCTCTAATGATTCTCAGTCAGGCATGATGAACAGAATGAAACTGCTCCCAAGATTTACGACTCTTAAAATGAATCAAAAGAATTGTTTGATCCTTGAATAATTATTAGAACTTGTCATTATGTTAATGGATACATTGTTGTTTCTTTCCTGTAGATATTTTTCTTCTGTGCTCTATCCCTTCAGGATGTTGGTGATCATGGCTCTCCACAATTTCCTGTCCTTTGTAGCTCTTAATAAATTGTCCTTTTCTTAGTACCCTAGAAATTTCAACTCTTTTTCTGATTCTAAATACAAGTGTCTTTTTTGTTTCCATTTTCTCTAAAACTTCATCCTTGCTCACATGTTCAGTATTCTCAGCATAGACAAAAAAAAAAGAATTGTTTTTTTTTTAAAGAGCCTAATGGAAGACCTTGATTTGAAACAATGCGTAGAATCCACAAATGCCAAAAAAATTTGATTCTTAGATGGGATAGCGCTTTCTTTTTAAGGATTTCAGTTTTGGCTTTCTTTCTTTTCAGAGTCTGCTTCAGGCGCATGATGTGGTTGCTCACGAGGTGTACAGTGAAGATGCTATTCGTGTGACACCCCCACCTGAGCAACCCTATATGAATGGTGATGCAGATGCCGACAGCCCCGATGGGGACATAGACATGGAGAATGTCACCCGAGTCCGACTTGTACAATTTCAGAAAAATGCAGACGAACCCATGGTAAGATTTTCTTAGTGTCATTTTTACTTTCAGAGTTTTTGGAATAACAGCAAAAGTTTTACCATAAATCTCTCCTGACAACAAGAATAATTCTTCCAGAATATTTGGGGTGTTAGGTTGTTGATTTATTTTTTCTAAACTTTTTGTTGAAATAATAATGTATTTTTTTTTTTTTATATATATATAAAAGCAATTACTATTTGTTCTCTTAAGTGGCTGAGATTGAACCTGAAAATTCTTTAGCTTCAGACCTATGTGGAAGAATTAAAATTATTCAAGAATATTTGTCATTCTTGTCACTGAAATGATTAGAATCTGGAGAATTACAAACAAGATGGCAACTCTTCAAAAAAAACACACACACACAAGATGGCCACTATTAATATAGCGAGAGTAATGTTTTAAACTTTTAAATGGTGACTTCACAAAAGAAAAATCTTTCATTAAAATGCTACTTGTGAAGTGCATTTTAATGAAAAATTTAAATGATACTAAAAGATTGAAATGTTGGGATAGGGATCAGAGTAATTTCATTAATAAGTCGTGAGCTGCTTTCTGTGGTTGGGGGTGTGAGGTTATATTCATTTCATGGGAAACTTGCTGCTTTTTTATTGGCAAACAAATTTTTTCACTCTATTTGATTTTATTCATTCTCATTTGTCATTACTGATTTTATCCACTCTTTCTTCTCTCATACTTTCTTATTCTCTTTGTCTTACTTTCCCTCTACTTCTCCTTCCTATGCTTTCTTTACCCACTCTTTCATGCTTTCTTCATCTCTCTCTCTCTTCTCTTTCTTTATATCTGTTTATATTCACTATTTTGTCTCTTTCCTTCTGTTTTTTATTTATTCTTTTCCTTTTCTTCCTCTTCCAATTTTATTCTCCTTTCTCTTTCATTTTGACTCAACCTATTAATCTTTTCACACTCTTTCAACAATGTACTTCCCTCTTTATTTCTTATTCTCTCTCTCTCATATTTTTATCTCTTTACATCTGAAATGGTTTTTTTCTTGATTTTGTTTGAAATTTAGTTTGAATTTATCATCTTAATTAAAATAATTCCTTTCCAATATATTCTTCTTTCCTCCTCATTTGTCCTCCCACAACACTTTCAATTGTAATCTTGTCAATTGTTTTTCTATTAAATTTTCCATTTGAGTCCAGATTACTCCAATTTGACCAACAAACACATTTGAGGTGTAATTCCATTTTTTTGAATTGAGAAATGAAGATTTCCTTGATTAATTACTCATGACTGAAAAAAAGAAAAAAAATTGAAAATTCATTTTCTGCAAGAAAAATTCATCCCTTTTAAGTTGTTTCTAATAATATTTTAAGGGCGTTGTTTCACATAAGAAATTGTATTTTGACTTCAAATAAGAAATTTTTCCCCCATTTTTTTAAACTATACAGAGTTCTAAACACTGTCTAGTTTAAAATAAAATTTCTGTCCAATAAAACAGAATCTAAATGTAAAAATAGTTGCAAAAGAAATTCTGTAATCAGATTTAGTTGTTAAAAGTCTTCCTGACTTGTTTAACACCAAAACAGCTGACTGTGTACATAGCAAATTCTCAGCTAAAGTGACCAAGTCATATAATTTTTCTTGTCTTTCAGATCTCTCTCAAAGATTGTACTAGGATACAGACATTACATCTTTTTGTCAAATCCTCACTCATATTTGTAAAAGTTGACAAAAAGGACAGTCATGTTTGTGATAAAATTATTATTTGATAGCTTTCAGATTATTGACTTGTATATTTCAGTTTTGCTTTGTCTGACACAAGGCCACAAGGAGGTTCAAACTCCTGCTACTGACTTTGTCTGTCCCTTAACATCCAATTGTCTGTCTAGTTCTCTTGGAGTAATTACAAGATTGGTGGTAGTCAAAATGTTTTTATCTTCTTTCAGGGTATTACACTTAAAGTGAATGAAGAGGGGCGCTGTTTAGTCGCTCGAATCATGCACGGGGGCATGATTCACCGACAAGGTAAGAAATGACCCCCTTCCATCTGCTCATTCTTGTGAGCTTGTTTAAGTCTGATATCAAAAGTATGTAAAAAAATTGTACAGGTGACCAAATTGCAATTTCTTGTTGCATGATGATAATGATTGCCAAAATTGAAAAGTTTTTCTTAATTCTTGACAATTTGGAATACAAATCTTTTCCATAAGAACCATGGAAGTTATGATGTACAAATTAATAGATTAATATCAGGTAAATGAACAACTTTTTCCCCTCTTTTTTCATTCAATTATCGAATATAAAAATCACACAATTGCAGTATAAAACTAATTTAAGTAAAAGCTATCCTGTAAGGAAGGGTCCAGATCAATTGGCCTTTCATGTTCCTATGTAACACAAAGAGTTTACACTGAACAAAACAAAAAGTTGTAATTATAATATTTTTTTTTTGTAACTAAATAGATCTGCTTCTGTACAAAACAATTACAAAGATTTTTTTGATAGAAGTGTATAAAATTTTTCTCCAAGTAGAGAAAGTTTCAGAAGGGTTTTCCTTTGTCTCACCTGAATTTCCATCAGTCCATATGAGAAATGAAAAGTGTAATGGAATATTGTTTTCTAGAGAAAAATGAAAGCATGAGACTGGATTGATTAGTTTTTTATGGCTTATCAACCTTTTGCAGGTTATTTAAAGCCAGAAAATATTTTTATATGTAAGAATTTTAGGGAGATAATAACGATTTACTGATACATGTCCTATTAAATGACCCATAGCTGGAGGGGAGAAGTGGTGGATTCACACCATTCCCAACAGTATTGGTGCATAAGTATGAATATAATAAACCTGACTGGAATTGAAACTTGGCTCTCCAAATTCCAGTTCTATAACAGCACTCACACCTCCAAGCTTACAGCACCTGGGATTCCCAAGCAGCAGTTATCCATCTAGGTCCTAACCAGGCTCAATGTTGCTTAACCAGTGATCCACATGAGACTGAAGGCAGCAAGGTACATCACTATAATTATTGTATAAACCAGAGATTTCTTGGTAATAATTCATTTAAATGGACTTTGGATTTAAAAAGAAGAACTTTTTTCAAAATTGTTTTGATTAGGTATGTGCTATGTTCAGTTAAAGAACCCCACTTTCTCTAGTCTTGAACAGACTTATGAATTGATAAATTTTAACTTTTGGAACCAGAAACTTGTGCTTTACAGTCCAATACTCTTTAAAAAATTGTATTTAGAGAAGGCAATAACAATTTGTTATTGTCTTCTTTTCAGTATTTTGCAACTTTTAATCAATTTGTTAACAACTCTTTATTATAAACAAAAATAACATTATTTTTTTTTAATTTGAATCAATCCAAATGAGCAAAGCTATTTTATAACAAAAACCGTTTTTTTCTTTAATTAAAAAAAAAAAAACTGTTAAAAATGATGACCAGTTCTTTCAAATTATTTTGTTTTGAGCAAATCCGACTTTTGTGAACATATTTTTTTTTTCTCTCCTTTGAGTCATTATTGATTCAACAAAAAGATATTTTCTTCCAGGAATTGCTTTTGGATTTTAGAATTGGAATCTTCACTAATCTATGTTGTTTTAATTTTTTTTTTTTTCTCTTTTTTGTGTTTCTTTTCTGAATGGATAAATCATGTTTGGATAATCTGCTTTGATCTTTGGATTAACATTTTCTTTCTCTTTTCTAAACAAAGATGATGTAGAGCTTGTCACAGTCCAAATAATAACCATTCAATTTTGGTTCAACAGAAAATAGGCCAGTGATTAATGTTTTTGTTTGTTCTATGAATAGATGTAGGCATTTGACTAATTTATCACAATTCACTTTCCATGCTTTTCAAAATGACTAAATTGAAAATTTGTTCTCAAAATAAATAATATTAGAACTAATACTCATTCAGAAAATTCAACCTTGAAAATTTTTGTCTTCTGATAATGAAAGGATCAGAAAAGTGGAACACTTGACGAATTTAAATCAAGAGCAAAATTCTAAAATGGGCCAACAAAACTGGTTTAGAGAAAGCAATAAAAAGCACTAAGGTAGCTTTTAGGATTTATTTTCAATTCACAGATTTGGCTTGCTGGGTGGCATAAATATTTACCCACTAGCAGGATGGCCTGGAGTTGCCCGTGCTTGATTCAAAAATCATACGACTCATACAGCAATCACTATCACTTGACTTAAAATATTTTTGCCCTTCCTTGCCTTTAAAGGAGTGCCCTTTGCCGTGCTGATGTTGCTACATGCCTTACTTCTTGCCTATCTCACACTGAAAATTTTTTCTAAGCTCTATACTAAACAGTAAATCTATTATGAAAAAAGAACTAAAAAAAATGAACACAAAATGATCAGCTTTAAAAAAGGACTCGTAACAGGAAAAAACGAATGAAAAAAAGAATGTTAACAACAAATACTTTTTCACACCCAACCCAGTTCTGCAGAATCACAATCAACGTTGATTTTAAGCAAGTGAATGAGCCAATTGGAGTAAAGTGCCATACAGATTTAAATTTTTCCCACTTGTGACAAATGCAGCTATCGATTTTTTTTGCATGCTAGTTAACATTCGTGTCAGTCAGCTGTTGGCTTTCACGCTGGCCAATAGAATCTTCCTGCCTATTCGTGACAGCCAGCTATTGGCTCTCACTCTTGCCAGTAGAAAATGGCTGCAAACTACATGAAAACTGCCATAGAATCATGAAAAAATTGATTATTTCCACTATCGATGGGAGTTGGGAAATGCAAAGTCAGTCTTGGCCTTCCTACTAACTTGGAGCATGTGCATGTAAATTTTGGTGCAAATCCGTCGAAAATTGCAGCTGTGCATTACACACACACACACACACATCCTGCCTTTTATAGATAGAGATTATTGAAACATAAATTGAAACATACCTGTTCATAAAAATAGTTTCAGTGATTGCCTATGTCCTGAAAGAACCCAGATTTTGTGGTTGAGTTAAGAAATCATATGAAAATACTTAACATTATTCTTGAGCAAACTCAAATAGAAACACTTAAAAATTCTATTGACATATTTCTTTAAAGATTATAAATGCTTTGGCTAATATTCAGTTTTATTTTTCTGTACATTTTGATGTTTTGGACAATTGACAAAGATGAATAACTCAATGATTTCTGCATTCATTTTCAGGGACTCTCCATGTTGGAGATGAAATTCGAGAAATTAATGGTTTCAGTGTCCGAAACAAAACTGTTGAAATGTTACAGAGGATGCTGGTAAGGAGACTCACCATTTCACTCTTTTTGCCTGCTTATTTTTTTACCAACCAATCATTTTTTTCTTCTTTCTTTTTTTGTTTTGATTTCAGCCCCTTTAGACATTTATCAACTTTGTTCTTATAAAATTTTTCTTTCTCATTTTATTTTTTTAATTTAGTTTCTTGAAGAAAATCATTTCTTAATATCATAAAAATTTTTTAAGTTTAAATTTTTTCAAAATATCTGAAGAATTAGTTCAAGTCACCTGATTAGCCCTGGGGGAGAAAATTGGGATAGAAATCCTGATCCCCACCATTACATGGTCTAGCTATGAAATGGATAGAATATTTAGTGTGTGTGTGTTGGGGGGGTTAAATATTTACTATGAAAAGTTAATAATAATAAAACAAGGAATTCTCACTACAAAAGTTTGTCTTCTTTAGATAAAGAATTTCTCTGCAATGAGATGAAGAATAAGAAATCATTTTCATCAACAATATGATTATGGTATGAACACTCAAAAAGACAGAGACTCCATTAAAGCTGTCCTTTTTGGTAGAACATATCTTTTGATAAAAATCAAATATTGTCTTGAATTCAGAGATTTACCTGTTTTTCTATTGGTTATTCAACCTCACATTGCACTTTCTTATTGCAACATTTTAGCCAATGCATTCTTCTGTCTTTGGAGTTCTAAAATAAAATATTAAGATTAGTCCTTGAAATATTCAAGCCAATATCTTCATTTTTGTTGTTTTCATCACTAAGTTTCAGCTGATGTACTGTCCAGCCTTCTTCAGGAACATGTTGCATTTAGTTATCCCTGAAAATAATATTTTCTTTCTAGTTGTAGGCCCAATTTTTTGTTACTTAGGTTCATTAAACTCATATTTTACATCTTATATTTTAAAAAGCAAAAAGTGTTATCAATTAGGCAAAATTAAAACAACTTTATTTTTTGGTCTTTTTTTCTTCTCTTTGACTGAAATTTCAAATCAAATCATTTTTGTTTTAGTAGATTTCCCCATGATTTGCAAATAAGTCTTTTGTTTGTCTGCAGTTTTGTATCTTTTAGCATGTTTAATTTGATTTACTTGGGGGTAAAATTCCTTTCTATTGTTAATTAATTTCTGAAATGACCACAGCCTATTTTAATTAGTAATTAAATTTTTAAAGTATTGGCTTAAAATTGTGGCTGATCTTCAAGAGAAATTTTGAGTTATAAGCATCTTCAATGTCTGTATATTTCTTTTGAGCCTTTTTTTCTGACCAACCTTATGAGGGTCAGCATTTCAGTTCCATCTTAACCAATCCAGTTTCTCAACTTTCTCATTTTTATTTCATATACAACATCCTTATCCAGTGAGAATATTTTTATTTTATTCACAAAAATATTTTGTTCTTTTCGGTTAGGGTTCAGTTCCGATAAAGAATAAGAAAGGAATATTTTTTTTAAACTCCATAATGTTTTTTCTTTTTTTTAAATAAATTGCAAACACAAATATATAGATTCATGTATGAGAGATGCTCCAATGGTAATGCCTCATATTTGTTCCTATAGAAAACTACAACAGATAGAAGGAGCACAATAACACCATTTAACTGTGTTCACATCCACTATTTGGTTTTTGTAAACATTTGGTAAGCCTCATGTCAATCGATGCAATTTTTTTCCTGCATGGAGGAAATCAGTGATATACACCTATGTATACACTTTTATATCAAACACTATTTTGCCAGACTGGGGCTCAGCTGCTGTTTATAACAAAATGAAAAATATGGGTTATTAGATTTTAAGATTCAACCTTTAGTGCCAGGCTGTGATATTTAAGAAAATAGAAGATATTAATTTTGGGAAAAACCTCAGTTAACCATGTCTATAAATAATTTTTAGTTTTTGGTCAAGAACAATTCATTTATAATCTGCTTAACTTCAAGTGTTTCAAAATAATTCAGCAACAGTTAAGGCAAAACATTCCAATAAAATTTTGTTAGTTAAAAGAATGAAACACCAAATATTTTTTTGGCATTTCACATTGAAAGATGAACAGTTTCAGCAAAAGTCAAAAAGTTTTCCTTCATTTTTTCTTTTACAAATGGTGATTATTTTTCATGTTTTGAGTCAAAATTTACTGCCCATCATGTACAGCCTTTATCTCTTAACTATGAATAGGTTAATCTTCACTATTTTGTCTTTTGTTATCAGTGATATTTATCGATCAAGTATTTGGTGCATTTTTACAACTTCATGGCCATTCCTTTCCTCTCTTGTGTATATTTAGCTTTTCGATGTTTAGTTATTGCCTGCTATTAGGTTGGAGCCAATAAAACTGGCACTTCAAGATTTCTTACCATTAATAAATCTTCAGAATAATAATGGCCAGTTTATTGCTCTTATCAATGCACACATTACAGTTCATAACTTCCATTAAAATCCTTGAAGTCCTTCAAGGCTTTTCACCTTCTGTTTGCATACTTCTGGAGGTGAAAGCACGAGTTCAAATCTTACCTAGAGTCTATTCTTTTACTGATAACACTAGACTGAATTTTCTTTTTTTTTTTACTAAATGTTCACAAGACCCAAGTAGAGGGTTACTGAATGAGCTTGTTGTAAAGGAAGAAGTGTAGATTATGAGGATATGTCTTATAGATAACAATTGTCCCTAGACTTGAAGAGGCTAAGATCATAGTGATTGGGAGGGGAAGCATCCTTGGATTAGTTGTATTAAAATGAAGGAAATACTCATCAAAAAATTAATAAAATTCTTTGATATGTTAAAATAATTTTCCAATTTCTTGTTCATCAGCTTATAATTTGAATTTCTTTTCCTGCATCAAAGACTGAGTTTTTAATAAATTATGAATTAGAATTTTTTTTTTAACTTGGACTTCTTGAAATTTGCATAGGTGTTGTCAAAAAAGGAATGAACATTGTGCAACCTTGCATTGACTGTAGACAAAACACTTCCGGGGGGGGGGTCTATAATGGGAAGGAAACAACCCTTTTCATTTTTGGGAATCTTCCATTTATGAAAGTTGTGACTGAACTTTTGTGTTTGCTTACTTAGAAGTTTTGGATTTTTGGTACTGCTTCATTCTTTTGAATCAAAATGCAGGGCATGTTTATCAAGTGGTTCAGGTTCTGTGCATTGGCAGAAATGACAATTAAAAGTGATTCTCTCTTGGTACACACTGTGAATGGATAACATGAATTATGGTGACAGACATTATCTGAAACACATTAACTGTGGTCCTGTATATTGGTCAATTTGGTGATTCCTGTTACACTGTTGGACATTGCATATTTTATATACCAACTTGTATGTTTATTTTGCAAAAGAGGCTCACAAGTTGAATTTCTAATGGATACTGACATGATATTCTATAATAAGGTTTTTAAAGACCTTTAGATGAGGAGAGCTTTTTGATACAATTTTGGTGTGTATATGCAGTCAGGAAATGTGTGATAGGAGTATCAAATAAATTGCTGTAAGAAAACTGTATTCTTTTTACCTGAGGTAATGTTCTAGTAGAATATAACATTTGAGGATGCTGCTGCACCCTCAGCTGTGATGTCAGTGAAATCATCAAATAGAAGAGTTGGCTGAAAGCTATAGACTTAGTATATGTCGTAATGTAATCCTCTAATGTGGCTACTTGCCATATTTATAAGTAGAAGCTGTCCCTTGTCACAACATTAGAGAAGTGCAAGAAGTACGCTGAGACCTACTTTACAACAGTATAATTGTCAGATAAGGCATGGCAAGGCATGCCATGTATGATTCTTATTATTTAGATACTCAGATGGGATTGTGATATTTATAATTGGTCTTGAGTTTATTTGATGAAAAAATTTACATAATCAGTGGGATAGTCATCATTATTATCATCAGTACAGACAAAGCTTTCTAAGAAATATTTTAAATACTGCCTGCAAAATTTGTTTTATTTAAACATTAAGCTCAGAATTTAGATTTTCTTTTAAATTCCAATCATCTTAGAGAAGAAGTCAGTACATCTGAAATCTTTTCTTCCAATTTATAAAGTTGGAAATTGCAAAAATCTGTTCCAATGCATGAAATATCAGGCATGAATCTGAGCAAGAATTTTGCTTCTTCAGATTTTCAGATGATTATATCGGCAGAAAATGAAACTCACAATGTAGCAGGTTGGCATTCAAATGTCATGAATTTCTACCGACTTCCCTGAGAATAAATGAAAAAAAAAAAAAAAGAAAAGAACAGTTTATCAAATGTTGATTCTCAAGAGCGCTTTAACAATTTAGGCAATCAAGCATCTCTTCAATTTTTTAATTTCTCTGACCTTCAAAAAATTTTACCCACCATTTTTACACTATTGCCATGCTTACCATTAATAATTCCATTTTTTTCAACCAATGTTGCCAGGCTAGTGGGTGAAGTGTGGGGTGTCTGCTGACATTTACTGCCAGACAAAAATCTATCATAAAACAAATGCCATTCTGAGTGAAGTTAGAAATATTTTCTGTTGTCTGTATTATTTTGTTACAAAAAACACACAGTTCTTCAAAACTATACCAACTTTTTAAACATTTCTTGTTTTGGCATTAATTATACATTTCTCAAATGAGAGAGAAAAAGATGTACTGACTTGTGTTGTCTTCAAGGTTTGAAATATTGCATGAATTATTTGGATTGCTCTCTTAATTGTTGCTCTTAGACTGGGCAAAATGAGCCCACTCTAATCTCTGACCATCTTCCAGTATTTGGTTGCTTCCACTAGATCTGAAGCATTTTTCAGCACTTTTTATTTCTCCAATTCTTCTCTTCTAACTCTCAGAGTGTCAAAGGTTCAGTCAAATCTATAAGAAAAAAAAACAAAAGAAAAATGAATTACTCTGGAGAAAGAAAATTTTAAAAAATTGGTTGCCATTTATGGGATATTTTGGGCAATATGATATCTCCACCTTCTATAAAAAAGAATTTATTTAAAATCTAAACTGTACAAACGTTTTAACTATTAGAGCAAAAAAAATAAAT